CTTACCGTACACCACTCTCCTTTTTTTCCTTTTTTCGGTTTCTTGCTCAAAAAGATACACCGCCCTCCCCTCCACTACCGAAGGGGAGAGAGGAAGGGCCTCGCTGCACTACTCTCGAAATGTGCAAAACGAGAGTGAATCTTCCGCTAGAATCTGGAAAGATGCACGGCCATGACTTTTGTCTTTTGTGCATGTCGAGAGTAGTGCAGCGAGGCCCGAAATGAACTGCTGGATATGGAGGCGGCCCTATGTGCTCTTCGCCGTACCATCATCCTCACCCATCACTCCCTGTCTTTTCCGGTCTGGCTCCACTACACAACATTTAGGTACTGCGCAACATTCTGAGAGTATCATCACCGGATTTTAGTCCAGATTCATTAAAAAATGTTCGGGCAGTCCAGAGAATCAGTCTAGATACGTTCAGAATTTGTGTAGTGGAGCGAGGCCCTTTGGTCCCATCCCAGTGTGGTGGCCTCCCAACTTGTCCGGGTTTTTTTTTTTTTTTTGGTCCGTGTTGTTTTGACAGACCAAATGGTAACGACTGTGTGCGTAAAGTGAAAACGAATCCACAGCTACTGGGGTAGGAGTGGAAAGATTCACCCCCCATAGCACGGCGCAGTCCGTAAGTGTGCAGCGGATGGAAGGCCCAAAAGGTAGGGGGGCCTGTATGAGGCCAGGGACCCAGTTGGGAGTTTAGACAATGACCCAGTAGCAGCTAAGGGGAGGCCCAGTTGCAGTTTGGACAATCGCCTGCCATCTTCCCTCGAGCATACCGCATATGAGTTGTAAATGAATACAACGCACAGGCCGCAGCTGCATTCTATTTGAACGGCCCTTATTTAGAAATACAACACGTGCGTTCTATTTAGATTGTCATTTGAAAACTCGAATACAACTCATATGGATTATGTTCGGGGAAGAGGGTATCAGTATGTAAGGGGAGGCCCGAGAGGCAGCTACGCAGAGGCCCAATAGCAGGTCATCCTGACCCACCTTGTCAGCAACGCGGTTGAGACCATGCAGCGATGCTCTTTTTTGCACCTTGTCAGATAGTTTGCACTTCACGAACCTCTATCCTTCACTCCTGACATAACATGCTTTGCATTTTACGAAGCTCGATCATTCACTCCTGACATAACAATACTCCGCTACCACAGCAGATTCACACAATAATGTAAGTTCTCCTCTCTGGATCCATGTTGAAAGATGCTACATCATAGACAAATGTCTCTTCCAACATCATGATCACCATGTTGTATAACTCCTATCTTTTCAAGACATATACCACTCAGCTCAGTATCAACATTTCTTTTTATTGACGTGGTGAGGGGTTGTGTTATATCACCAGTACCTCCACGTTTTTTTGCCGTTAACGCGGTGGCTGAATCGCTGCACGGTGAGGGTCCCTGTGCATTTGCGTCAGAGCCTCCCCAATTGGGGCCTAAGACCCCTTAGGGGTCATGACATTGACAATGGGACTAGGTTGTTGCAAACAGGTCAGTTTGATAACTTTGAGGTGTTTTGCTTTTTTTACTCTTCTCCCTTTCACTATGTACCTACCAGTACTTCTAAGGCTATACTAAGGACCTCTGCAGGGGGATTGCATGTTGCCGCCTGCTCGAACAGTGGTAGTCAGGACTCAGGAGTAGGGTCGGCCCGCAAGCGGGGGACCAGCTAACATAAAGATTGAGCATTTCGCCAGTAATTGCGCCTTCCTTTTTATCGTTTCCCACCCGAATCCATTAACAGCAGTGTCTAAGGCCAACACTCTCCGACAATGCACACACAAACCACTCACACTCACAGTTGGGTTGGCTAAAGACCCTATGAACAACAGGGAAATCAAACTGACTATATTTATCTGTTGTTGTTTTATGGGAGACTGAACTGGAAGTTGCCGCTTAAAGTGGGATGCTAAACCCGGTTTGTAGTTTAATCCAATTTGAGTAATGACCTCACTAAATTTTCCCCGAGTTGTACATCGAGCTCCTGAAAGGACCATACACTAGCGGAAGCAGCAGGAAAAGAAACAGACACATAATTTTTATCATCCTGCTCCACTCCAAAGCACTCAAAATATACGTGGATTGGTTTGTTAGCATTGTGCAGACTGAGGGAATACCCACACTGACACTTTTGAAAATGCGTACGACAACAGTCAGCGGCTTACAAGGTGTGACTCTGATGTTGGAAGTCTTGTCAGAGAGAAAAAACATTAGGTTTGTATGGGGGACCTAATTAATGTTTTTGTCCCTTGTTTTTGTGGTTTTGCTTTTTTTGTTAGTTCTTCATTTAAAATACTTCTTTACACTTCTTTTCATGATCGAGTGCAACGTCCATAAATGCATCATAAACGAATGAGGGAGTTTCACGGGTGCGTCACGCAGGAGCACGGCAAGCACTAGTTCAACTAAGATATCACTTTGATTGTGTGCATCAACTATGCCTCTCACGCTGCCTTGCAGCAGGACAAGACTCGGCAAGGCACAACATCCTTATACGTGAGAGGTTGTGACGATCCTTAGGTAGGCGTATCCCTATTGAGCTACATTCCCACATGTGTCGTTTTGTACTTGTTGTACTCGAGGTGAGCTCCTTGAAGGTGCTTCCTCGTTGGTTGTAGCATAGGTGTACGCGCAATAGATGCTTAAAACTGACTCGCTCATGCGTCGGGCCTCCAAGTGTTGATCTCCTAGGATGACTTACGATTCGGTTTTACTCAACTGGCAGTTTCTTACGCTTGTAATTATTTATAATTTATTTCAACCCCATAACTTATCTTCGCCAATCCACCACTACCTTTCTCAAGGTTAGAAAAGTGGAAAAACATCATATTCCACAAACTTCAGAGCTCTCGTGGAGGCTCGGCGGGAAGAAAAAAAAAAAAGACTTTGGAAGCCCGAAGTGAGGAGGAAAAAAAAAATTCAGAACTTCAAATTCAACAACGTCTGGGAAGACCTTTACGGAGTTGAAAGTCACACAAGTGCCTTGAGGAATGTATTTTACCAGTATGTGTGGAACGTGATTGATGTTGTTTCTGTTTTTTTTTTTTTTTCACTCCATTTTTGTGTAGTGCCCTGCCATCAAGGCACGACGCAATCCACGTGAGCCAACTGACCGTCTCACTCAACTCATAATCATACTAATAATATAGCGTCATGTATCCGATTACAATCACAACATAAATGATGATACTTGCTTTCTTTTATTTTCTTCATCCGCTGTTCATCCGATGGACGCTCTCACTGAAGGTATAGTCTCATTAGTACCCCATACAATGTATGTAATGACTATCATGGGTTTTGGCGAGTTTTTTTGTGGGGGGACTACGCGGGGTTCATAAAACTGAGTTATAATTGCACTATGAGCAAAAAAACTTTGCAATTGCAGTTCCGACAATGTATAGAACCCAACTTGTTTGCCAGGTACGGTGCCCAAAGTGCAATTGTAGACTGTGTTGTGCCCTACAGTGCAATTATAACTCGTTTTCGTGACTCTACCGAAGTTTTTTTTTATAATATTCTTGTCGTGAAAAAAAAAAAAAAAAATCAGTGTGGACACAGGTTAAGAAAAAATTGGTGCACAGTGCAATTTAGGTTCGATAAAAATATGATTGAAGGTTGTAGTGGTTTAATGAGTTATATATAGTCGCGTACCTAATAATCTGATAACTTACAGTCATGCACAAACTTACAATCAATCACCATATCGAAGCACTATGCGATACTCGAACGCACACGACCCTTTAGTACATCGTGGCCTCACGTGACGCTTCAGACGTCTATAAGAAAAAAATTGTGAAATCACACTCCTTTATTTTGGAGTGGCTGCAAGTTAGGAATCACACCTCTTCGTTTTTCATAGTCCGTAGTCGCTAAAAAGTTAATTGATTAGTCATTACTCACTTTGCTTGTCGTGCAGATTGAGCCGATTGGTGAAAACCAAAACCTTAAGGCGACCTCGTATAATGGACAAAGACCTTTAATCTAATTGTATACATATTTTTTCACTAGTGAATTTAACAAGAAACACAGTGTGACTAATTTATTTTTGATGAGGACTTACAGTATTTAGAAGAGTGATTTCACCAACACCAATCGGTGGGGAGTCGAACATAAGTCACATACTCATCCTACAAAAAGGTAAAGTTCGACTGATATGATACTTTATATATGAATTATTTTTCCAATAATAAGTAATTAACATATTTAAGGATTAAGGTTTAAACGCAAGACGATATCTTTACATTTATACGAGGAAAAAAAAAAAAAACCATTTAAATAAATATAAAAACCATTTAGGTTTTAGTCTTTCAACGAGAAACAAATCGATATTTTTTTGGCTTTTTGGTAAAAAGCAAAATAAAAAAGAGAAAAAAAAGAAAAAAAAAACACTTCGTCGAAATGTTTGTGTCAAAGCCCTAATGAGCCTAAGCTTTACCATCACAAGTACTTGGATCGCTCGGAATGTTAAATGTATTTCACTAACCTATGAACGGAAATCAGAACAAATCATACAATTCTGATGAAGCCATATTTTGTTTACTTTTACTCTTTTACCCTCAGAACGATATTTGCGAAAATTGAACTTGTAATATTGTCCAATTTGCAAATATGCAGGGCTGCGTAGCACGGCGAACACGTTCGGAGTTTTTCCGAACGTCCGAACGTGTTCGGCCGTTCGCCCGATCGTGGCGCGAACACGTTCACACGAACGACTTTCAGAGGCCGACGAACGCATCCGTCGTCGGGCGGTACCGGACCCGGTAGGGCAGCCAGGGGGCGTTGTGAGGGTTGGGGGTTTGGTTGGCGGGGTTGGGCGGGCGCTGGGAGCATCTGCGTGGCGGGAGGGGCCAGCTTTGGCCCGCTCATTCGAATTCGAATGCGCATACCTCGCCAGTCACCCACTCGGGGAGTTGTAGTCGTCGTCATCGTTGCCGTCGTTGTCTCCATCACCTCCCAGGTGAGAAACCACCACGTGGCGTCCTCCTCCCCCCCCTCCTTCTCCTCCTCCTCCTCCTCCTCCTCCTCCTCCTCCTCTTCTTCTTCATCCTCGTCCGCTGACTCGTAACCCGCCATATCCTCCTCGTTCAACGCCCCCTCCAGGGCCTCCAACTCGTCCTCCTTATCTTCTCCCTCCTCCTCCACCTCGTCGACCTCCTCCACCTTCTCCTCCTCATCTTCTTCCTCCCCCACCTCGTCGACCTCCTCCACCTTTTCCTCCTCCTCGTCTTCTTCCTCCTCCTCCACCTCGTCGACCTCCTCCCCCATCTCCTCCTCCTCCTCGTCATTTGCTTTTTCCTCCTCGTCTTCCTCCTCCTCCACGTCTACCTCCTCCTCATCCTCTTCCTCTTCCTCCTCCTCCTTCGAACTTTTTATTGTCTTCGAACTTCTTCAGCTTGTTCTTCTTTTTCCTCCTCCTCCGCTGCATTGCAGGTTTTTTTTTTTTTTAACTGGCTGATATAGCTGAAATAGTTTATAAGTTTTTTCAACTTAAATAAATAATTGTTTTGAAATTATGAAAGTCATGTACTAGAGGGTTTCGAAAAAAATATTTTTCCGCGGATGACACTTTGTTTGATGAAGTACCTGATGCTCATTGTTGTCTCACGGTATAGGTCTGGTCCCTGAAAACCAAACTCTAAGTTTAGCAGTGAGGGGGCGCACTAAAATCCTATCCTTTTATCTATTGTCCTCTCACCTAGGCTACCAGCCGGGCCGCCTGGGTCCCGGGTGGCCAGCCCGTGCAAGGACCAAAGAAGGTCCTAGCCTGCGCATCACGGCGAACGTGTTCGTGTCCCTTCACTTTCGCGCAAGCGTGTTCGCGTGTTTGTGCAAACAACTCGTGAACATAATCGGACGAACATAATTTTTTTTTTCGTAAAAAATAAAATAAAATAAATTGGCTACGAATTTGAATATGACTCCAAGGCAAAAGTTGTTTGTATTGTTATTTTACATAACATATATTTTTTCAGATTTTTCTGAGAACTTTTTTTTTTTTTTTTTTTCGCGTTCGGAGGGTTTTTTGCGCTTGTTCGCATTCGAGCGAACATGTTCGCGTTTGCCTCCGAATGCGAATACGGTGCTACGTAGGTCCCCCCCAAAAAAAAAACATAAAAATAAAATCCAAAAAAATCGAAAAACAAAGTATGTTATGCAGAAAAATAAACTGATTAACTTTTGTTTCAGGATCATACCGAAATTCTGCACCAAATTTAGAATAAAAAATAAAATTTAAAAATACTATTTTTTTATATATTTTTTTTTCCGGCCCGGCAGGGCAAGTGACCCCGGGCCACTCTGGTAGCCTAGCGTCTCACTTTCCCGTATTTCTTGGGTGGTAGAATCTTGTTCGAGAGAAAAAGGTGAAAAGCAGGGTATCGATGACGATGAAAAAAAAGAGAAACGCCTATTTGTTGAAGGGTGGGGGAAGAGGGAGTGGGGAAATATCAGACATGTTCAAGCAGTGAATTGTATACGAAGCTAACCGAGAGTCATGTTAGGGTGGAAAGCGGGGGTACGACTCATTGTGAGGTGGAGTTAGATTGGGAGAGGGGAGAGAACGAGGAAGGATACGCGAGGACGAGTTTTTTGTTGCGTTTTCGCCTACTGCAGGTTTTATTTTTTTAAGTATGTGTAAACGAACCATTTTCATTGTCCTCCCGCTTTCCCCACGTCCACCCCACCTTCCCCCTTCGCCAAACATCCTGATTAAACCTCTTCACATTTCGCACTATGCGCTTTCTGATGACTTATAGGTTTATGGAGAGACGAAACCAAATGGGGAGAGCAGTGAGAACGAGCAAAAAAAATAATTCTACACAAAACGAAAGATAAAAAAAAAAATCATTAAAGCACCAGTACCTTTCCCGCTAAGGAAAATACGAAAAACTAGCAGTTTTCCCAAGCGCCTGAATTTTCGGAGGTCAGGCCCGACGACGATTACCGTTGATAAATCTGATCGGCGGCCGTCATTTCGTTTCGGCCGCTGCAAAGGTCGGATGCCTACCCGAGTCCCGCTATTTTCCAAGCGGCAAAGGTACTGGTGGTTTAAGAACAAAATTCTTCATATTTAAAAATGATCATTTAAAAACTCTTCTAATTTAAATTTTCATTTTAATTTGACAAACCCCCGTATAAAAATATATTTTGCCTTCCAACTATATCTATTTATTGAAGATGGAATGAAAGTTTGGATGAGTTTATAGACTGTCTAAGTTAAAATTTTATTTTATTACAATAAATATCTTATAATTAAGATTGAATTTCAGTTACAATGACTGAAACTCCTTATAATAGAATGATAGTTCAATTAAAATTTCATAAACTTATTTGGACTTCCTTTAGAATAAAGTTCAAATAGTAAAGGATACCCCATTATTGGAAATAAAGTTTTCAAATAAAACATAAAATTTTAAAAGTGAAATGATAATTTTTAAGATAAAATAAAATTTTTAATTTTATAATATAATTTTATTGTTAAATTATTATTTAATTTTATGAATTTTTTCTGTAAAGAGGGGAGACACGATGACGGGTTCTTGGCTGCATTTCCGCCTACTGCAAAAATAAAACCAATAATGCAAGTTGTCGTTTTTAGTTTTGCAGCATGCGTAAACCACATTTTCATTGTCTTCACGCTTTTTCCACGTTCACCCTGAGTTGCTCTTCGCCACGCATCCTAATCAGACCTATCCTCTTTTTCCACCGCGCAACTTTGATGCACTTTCAAGGGAGATCCAAGTTGACGGGAGGCGGAGCCAGATTGGGAGAGCGCCAAAAACGAGGGAGGAAACACGATGGCTGATTCTTGGCTGCGTTTTCGTCTCCTGCAAAAGTGACACTGATAATATTATCGCATTTTATTTTTGCATTATGCGTAAACGACTCATTTTCATTGTTCTCTAACTTTCCTCTCGTTCACCCCGCCTTCCCCTTTCACCATGCATCATAATCAAACTTGTTTGCCTTTCCGGCCTTGAATCTCCCATGCATTATCTTGTGACTTCCCCGTTCATGGGGAGGCGAAGTCATGTGAGGAAAACTGTAGGAACGAGGGAGGATACATGAGGACGGGTTATTGGCTGCATTTTCACCTAATGCAAAAATAAACCCGATCAGGGTTGCCGGCGTTCCGGACAGGCCGAACACCCAAACCCGAACGCCCGAACGTTCGGCACCCCCTCTGGACGCGTTCGG